CCTCAAAATGGTAATTACAGTAGTAAAATGGAAGTATCACAAAACATTTAAATGCAGAAATCAAACATCAGTTATGTAAGAAATGCGAACTTCGATTTGCTACATGACCAAGAAAACAAATTTTATGTAATACATATATGAGTCGAGCATGCTGTTTGTTTGAACGCTCAAAATTCTATGGCAAGCAATCACAAGCGTACAGGGCATATGCTGAGATAAAATGAACATTGACAAATAAGCTATAGCTACAGTATAAAATCACATCGTGATACAATTGAATTTATAAAATTTATTTTTCAATTAATTGTTCTGTGATTTGATTTGAATTTTGTTTGAAGCAAAGTATCGAATGAACAAAATAGGCGTTGTTGTGAAGAAGGGGTCAAACTTACAACATTGTCTGTAATATCAACATTTTTTACATGTAAAAATTCGAAATAATAAACAATTGCTATATATTTGTGAAGAGTCTACCTTTGTCGACAATGAACACTCAATGAATAGATTTGTTTCCATGGACAGAATGTGCAATTCATATTTTTAAAAAAACGTCCTCATAAGCGGTGGGAGGTGCTAAGGTGTTGGGTTTGAAAAATTAGTTCGATAACCGATTTAAAAAAGTCAACAAATTTTTGAGCGTCCAATTGAAATATAACATAAATTTACAATGTCGAAATGTTCTATTATCTTCAACGCTAAAAAAATCGGTGGTTTAATTGAAATCAGGGGTGTTCCAAATCCTGCAAACCGTTCGCTTCATTGTAGAGTATCCAAAAAAAGTGTCGAATGGAAATCGACGTGCTAAGCCCTAGATCTTTTTTAGCTTTTTATGTATGGAATTCATGTATTTCGAGTGTGCATATTATAAATCAGTGGGAAAAAAATTATTTATTACTTAAAATGACCAGTGAGCAACTAATAAATTAAATATTCGAGATATTACATATTTGCAAGGTAAAACTGCAATAAGTTATGTTTCAATGAGCCAAATAGCACAATAATGCATACAATTAATCGTTGTAAATGCACAATGGTAAACCAACAAATAATTTACCGCTTCACATCACTTACGCAAGCAATGGATGAATGCATATCTAGAACAATATTTTCAATCAATCATATTTTCGTCATATTACCAAATTGCATTTCTTTCCTTTTTTTGTGTCCATTTAGTAATCGAATTCTTGGGTACAACTCCATATGATGGATTTAATAATTCGAAAATAAAATCGAAATATTCCTTTCGTGTTAGTTTTGTGAAGTTCTTTTTTTTGCTGTTTAGTTGACCAATTGATTAGATTAATGACAGTGTGTGTATCGGTGGTAAGCGGAAACATGCTTTCCATTTCAGTGTCCGACTTAAAGGTTTTCAATTTACGGCGTAGCTATGAAAATAACACAATACAAAAAGATCAAAGCAGCAAATGAAGAAGAAATAATCTGATGAAACTTGTTTTTTTTTAAATATATATAACTACGGCAAACAATTAAACATTGCACACGATATACGTGTTTGCGTCATTTTTAATTCAAGGTAATGTAGGTAATGTGGTGTGTGCACATATTACACCTACTTGCACTTCTTTTATAATTTGATTTTCTCTTCATCAGATTTATCACATTTCTTCATACAGCAATCTGACCAATAATAACAACAACTTTTAATTGATAATCAGTACATTTTATACGCAGCAAGTAATTTCTTTATTCGAAATTAATTGATCGTTATTAGGTATCACTAATTCAGAATGTACAAATGAAAATTGTAAATGAAAAGATATATGACTTGTTGATTAGCTTAAAATCTGTCTCATGTATACATCTTATTGGATTATTGTAATCAGTTTTATTCTGAAAATAGAATTGTTAAGAGGGCCGGTTCTGTATAGAACCTGTTTAATTTCATTATTGAAACAAAAGCTAACGAGAAGTTACTTGAAATTCGAATTAAATGCACGATATAATTGTTGAAAAATGTTGCGTTCTTCTGCTGCAATATTATCATCGTTCAGTGGCGCAACGTCTTTATCTAAATTTACTTGGGGCGGTTATCTTATTGCTTTGTGAGGTTCTTTGTTCTTATTCTGAGTACTTCGATTTCCATTTTATTTGAATTTATTTTTATAAATATTTTTATACGTTGCACAGTATTTTTCAATCAAATTATTTACGTATAAAATTGTTGACTGACAATTTTGTCAGTGTTACCCATGAGCAGAACAAATTCTCGGTGCGCCACTGATCACCGTAGCAAAAACTGCTTCGATAATTTATTATTCGATTTTATTGTATTATAGCATTGTGGCATGCAAATTATTGTAACACAAAAGTGCCGATGTATTTCACAGTCAATGCGTTAAGGTGTTTGCAGCAATAAGATGATCGAATTTGAATAAAAATGCATGTAATTAACACCGGTGATCGAAACAAAAAAATTCGTTGAAATTTTCATTTGCATCTTTATTAGCAAAACGTTGGACTATAGTCATCTACTTCATGCTACTGGTTTTTTAATAAACAAAATTTCGTAGGATGCCCATGATGACAACATCATCAAAGAAACAAAAAATGCGAATCATAAAATTGTAATAAAAGCTATAAATTCACATTGTGCTCAATTTCAAGTCATGTTTCCAATACAGCAGGAACTTGATTGTTTGAACAATGTTGGGTGATTAATGTACAAAAAATTATTGAAACTACCACAGCATATATATTATACATAGAATTTTCGAATTTTTTCTGTTGAAACTATTATATCGTTAAGATCATATGGGGGATCGCGTATCTACCGTATTGCCACAAATTCGTTCAACATTGTAATTTTCTGTGTTATTTCAAATTATTACAAAGTGAATTGTTGATATGTGTCCTTCGACACCCAATGTTTTAAAACAATTTTCATCTACATTGCACGACATGTCTTTATCTATCTCATTTATTCAAATCGCTGTATCGTTTGCTTCACCTGGCTTGATGAGATGATCAAAATTGAATGTATTAAAGATGTTGTGTGATTGCAAAGCATCTCATATCTCAGTCACGCAAACTGCAAGCAATAAAGAAATTTTTATTCTTCAAGTATTTTTCTGTTATAAACTAGTTACGTTGCCTCTACCACTTCACGATCAAAACGATGATTATTGATAGAACGCTTTTATAGTCGAAACAACACACCACACTTTATTAACATTCATTTTTTTTATAAATAACTTCCTTGCCATTCTCTTTCATTACGCAATAAGAATCAATATGGTGTCTTGTGCAGACAACGATTGTAAACAATTACCACCATCATAAGGCATACGAGGTGACCCTCGCAGAAAAATATCACAACATTAATCACACAGTCAGTTTGATCCGGTATTTTTTTAAGTTGATCATCTTTATGATCAGTTAACAAAAATGCCTGTCTGGTCAGCTAATATGTTGATCGCACTCTTTTTCATGGAATGATTCATAAAACATTCCATTTTTTATTTTACACGAAGAAAAAAACGCCAGCTCCAAATCTCTATAATGCTGACCAGGTGCGTTAATAAAGTAGAACTATAAGCTCATTGATGTTTGACAGATATTGACACATCTTAACTCAAAGTAAAGGTGCGACACTTCAGGTGCGACACGTTATACATTATATGTAATAAAAGCGGGCATTGACTAGTGTCCGCACGTCTCTGATGCCAAAAACTTTGATGGGAATTCAGGTGAAAAATCAATGTAGCAATTTAAAGTGAGCGAAGAAAATGCAAGTAACAGATGTCGCCAAAATCTACAGTTGTTTGAAACTCTAAGAGTGGACCATTAAATTAAACATTCACAAACACACATTCTAATATCTTGCATAAGAATTGAAAAAAATTGATTTTTATATGGCCACATTCGTTTGTGAGATTTCGAAAAAGGTCATTTTTATCTATAAGAAAGTGTATTTTGTATTGAACAATTAGATCACTTTGCTTCACATTAAAAAAAATTGCCATAAATGACTTCGTCATAGATTTAACTGTCTACTATTGTTTTCAATCTGAAAATGTGTGTGGCTTGCTAATACTGTTCTGCACCATTTTTTTTTTTTTTTTCAAGTTGTAATGTGAATAAAATAAAAACTCTTAATCACTCTATTTGGCAATTCGTCATCTCGAACACTTATTATGTTTGTAGTCGGGGCCTTGATTATTACACTCAATTGTTTGTTGACGCAACAAAACTGTTTTACATTTGTAACTGTCACACATTTTAGTTAAACATTCTATGTGCTTTTCAGTTCGATGAGTTTGCATTATACAAACACATTTTTTTTGAGCGTATCATGACTCTTTGGTTCTTCGTATGGTTAAAATATCTTAATGAACTTTTTTTTCAACATCGATGTTACCATTTAATTAAAATCAAATCTGTTGTACCCTTCAACATTGATTTTTTTAGTTACAACGACGAGTACAAGTCATCTTATCTTCGAATAAAATTCAGTGTCAATGTGTGCGTGTGTTATGTTTACCATCAATTGATTTCTCATCACCACAACATAAATTATACTTCTTTTCAATTCAACATGAGCATATTGATACTTAACAAAATAATTTGAATGTCAATGATATATGTCTATTTTGAATCCATCTTAATTGCACAAAATAAGTACGCACATCTCATATTTCTAACATATCTGCCGATGGTTTATGTACTGCTCATTAGTGAATGGAAAAGACCATGAATAATAACCTATAGAGTCTATGATCGTACAATATTTTATGTAAACGAATCGTTTGCTATTCAACATAAAACATGAAAAAGGAAAAATTGGCTTTGCTGCACAAACAACATTGAGATAAATTATAGTAGAAATCAAATCATGATGATATGTTATATGATATTCTGAACTTTGTCAAGTGTTGTAAATAACTTGTTCAACTTGATAACATATGCAAATATCATATTCAATTATCGAAAAAAGTGTGGGACATAACAAAGATTAGAATTTGTGCATGATTGATACTTACCCACTAGTCAAATGTCAATTAAAAAATCGGGGGATATTTTTTGTCTGTTTACGTCTTGCTCGTAATGGTCCCCAGATCGCTACTTTCCAGCACAATATAAGCAAAAACAGTATACGTATTTCTTTTTAGCACTTAAACGTTCCTTTAAGATTGAATTAAAACGTTTTACACATAGATAATCGGTTGGTACACAAATCGCATTCACAAAATTAATATAATGATTGTTCGTCTTCCTGTTTCTTACTCTTCTTCCCTTTTTATATACTCTTTTTTTTTATTGTTATTATTATTATTATGATTGTTTTTTCTGTATTCGTGACAATAAGAAGAAACACATATACACAATCAGTGGCGCAACGAGCACACACCAGTTGTCTGATTAGATGATGGAAAAAGTGATGAGCCACTTGATGATGCGGAATCGCAAAATACAGTTGTCGCAACTACGATTGTTTTAGATACTAAAAGATTTCGATAGAGCAAAAATTGGATTGAGCTAAAAAAAAGTCCACATCAAAAATACACTCACAATGTATCGTTCTCTATCTTTGTCGCTCTCTCTCTCTCTCTCTCTCGCTACTCGAATAGTCTATAGAACGCAATATTGACCGTCTTGCAACGAATTGCTTAAAAAGACATTGTGATAATTTTTACACTTTTTTGTCATGATCTTTTTTCCAGCGGGCGTCACAAGAATTTAACTATATATAAACAACAACCACACACTGGTTTAGTCGAATGATTTAATGCATAATTTCCGTTACACATTCATTTCGTTAGGAAGAGTTTCGACGAAAATACATTCGATTTGGCGGGGGTTTTGGCTAAGAAATATTGGTTGCGTTTATGAACAAGTTTATCATTTACATACCTTTTTAATTGATCAATTTCAAATCGAATCCATCCAAATCAATTTTATTTAAATAAACAAAAACCGCATCAGAAATCGAACGGCTTTTTTGTCTTTTGGTTCAGCGTCAAAATATAAAGGAAACAACTTTCGATTTGATGAACTATCATTAGGATGTGTAAACAAAAAAATAAATGAATAGTGATAAATTAATTCGTTTCGAATGAAAGGTTATACACGACACTGAATTATCGCTCTCATGTGATCAGCATCAATACAACAAAATTATTGAAAAATTGATAAATATTCTTTTTGAATAATGTCACAAATATTGCAATTTATTCAAATATTCTTAATCATTTTGATTCGCTTCCTTTATTAAAATAAGAGATTCACTATAAAATTATACTTGTTGCATTATCATACTAAAGAAGAATATTCAATGATAATATTAACAAATAAATCGAGAAGAGATAAATGTGAACCAAGGAAAAAAAAAGAGAAGAATAGGTACTAATTAAAACAAAGCGAGAGAACACAAATAATAAGCCACGAACGACTGCGTCTACTTGAATCAACGGCAAAATGTTAACTAATTGGTAAAGTTTTATTTAATATTTAATTTACTGTAAAAGACATTGTAAAATGTTCACTATTTTAGCAGCGCTTTGACTTTGCTGCGTTCCAACTGCTGTAGACTGTTGCTCTGCTCTGTTGTTCGTCGTGCTCTTTCCATTGTGTGTGCACGTACAACAACGAATTCAAGCAATTTCTTGCAAACTCTATTCGACATGATTGTGTACTGTGTTTTGGCTATAATGAAAAGTTCTGTCGTTCGCTTTGAGAGCGTGTTTTGCATTGCACACATAAAAGTAAATTGAAGACGAAAAGCAACAGCAGTTATAAGAAGAGAATGAATAAATAAGAGGAAAACATTGGACTGTGTGTATATCGCGATTGAAGTATATGAATGGTATTGTTGTGTTGCCAATGGGCCCACAGATGGGCATCTATACAATTATATTTGTGTATGTATGTGTTTTTTTTTTATTCAACGACATGCGACAATAGCAATGTCGTTGCTTACTTTTTTTTCACAACATCCATTCTGTTTCACTATATTATGCTTTATGCATATAAATTATACAAATTATGAGCATTGCATAGCATCATTTTGGTAACGTTGGTCATTATGGCGGGAAAATTGTAAGAAAAAAAATTATGTTCACCTGTTTATGCGACAATATTCTTTAAAACTATAAATGCCGGCGTTGAAAATGTACCGGTTTTTTTCTTCTGTTTAATCTTTCTTTATAAGCCAATCGTTTGAAAGTCGTTCTTATATATTTGCATTTATCGTGTAGTGTACATTGTAACTTAGCCATCATTACCACTTTGAAAGAAAATTAACTGATCTTGTACGTGGTGTTTTGCATTAATCGGCCCATTAAAACACTTCGGCCCATCCCTGTCGATATTCTCCAAATAGTTTTTGTTTATGTCTTTTTCTATTGTTGACTTTGCAATGTTGCTGCAATCCAAAACAATTATTGCTTTTATATTGTGTTGGCTTGTGTTAGATATGGTCGTTTTCATTATCGCAATCGTTTTTTTTCTTCGTTCAGATGTTTTACGGTGCAGCACATACTTTCTTGCATACATATATTGATTATGCGTGCTACGATCTCGTGACTGTGTTGCTCTGCTTATTCATTTTCCACTGTTTTCGATTTCAATATCATTTCAATTATCCGCATTGCTTTTTTCTTCTGTTTTTTCTTTATTCGTGTCGTTGCTTCTCTGTCTCTTCTGAATATTATGCATTTTCATGAACTTATCGTCGGTCACTGGTGTCGATGATAGAAAACTTGAATTGTCAATTCAATGTACACAAGTACAAGTGGTGGGGCACGTTTAAACATATTGCATACACATACACATCACTTGGTGTTGCTGCGCTCAGCATAGGAGCAATGCAAAGTTAAACATTTGACATAAATCAAACTTTAAACTAGGTCCTCTCATAAGTTCATCATTCTATCGTACGTAAATTTTTCATAATCTACTATGGACTATGCATATAAGGAAAACAATCGCAAGAACCGATTTTATTAAAAGAAGCACGCATTAAAATACAGATGTTCCCATTTCAACAGCTTCAACGTATATAGTAATGAAAAAATGTAAATTAATAAGTTTTTTTTCCTCTCGAAATATGCGTGAGTCTGAGCAAAAGTTTAATTCTACTATTGTAAAGAGAAATATACTTAGCCCGATGTATAAGCAAATTGCTTTAACTTGTCCACCATCATTATTCAATTTATTTGGTTGAATAATTGCCAATATAATTCACATCAAATTCCAACGATGATAAAAATCTTGTTGTTCTTTTCTCAATTGTTCACAAAAGATCATTAACGTCGATGTTTAACACAAGAATTTCCATTTAATGTTAGGTTCCATAGGAATAAAAATATGCTTTTCTCAAGACTTTTCATTATTCAATTCTAAGTTTTTAAAACTTTTGTGTATTCGTTTTAACGGCTAGCGTTTGATAAACATTTTCAAGCTAAAAAGCACCACATCAAGATGAAAAAGAATATGGCGCCTCCATTCATGTATGCCGAACAAACCGCTTGCGGTACGTTTATTCAAAGAATGTACGAATGCTTAGCGGAGATCACAACCTTTGAACCAACTTCATACGAGAAATATTAAGAGGCTGACTGATGTTCTATAAAGTTTTCAAAATAAGCACATATTTTATGAAACTTTCGAGATGTTCTTATATCTACTTCAAAGTTCTCGATGACTTTCGAAATTTGGTGGTTTTAAGAACCAAACGTGTTCTTATTTGACGAATAAAAAAGAAGTAAAAAAAACGTGTACAGCTAGAATGTTTCCATTAGTTAAGAAGTTTCAAATGATTCATTAAAATGGTAAATGTGAACAAGAATTAAAAATAATCTTACCATAGTTCTTCTTTCTATGTTCATGTGAGTAATATCCTCTGAGAAAAAAAAAATACTTACCGAAACTCTTATTCGGTAAAAGTCTAAATCAATTTTTTCGCCACAATTGACTTCACTGTAAATGTGAATGAAATTAAGCAATACGATCTTACGTGCGCCGGATTTCGATTTTGCTGATAGTTTGATATTTTCCATCCAAAAATGGTCGTATTCATTCACAAAAGATACTCATTGCCTGGATTCAACTGAAAGAAGTGCGATGCGAATCATTTATGAAATAAAAGAAAATTGATTTAATTTTATTTACTTATTTAAATTTTATTTTCATCTTATGGCTGGATAGATTTGTATGTTCAAAACATTAGTTGCTTCTTTTGAGTTATTTGCATTTTTTTTGTTCATTTCCAATATATCTAAATCAAAACCGTGTGTCACACAAATATACTTTAAAATATTGAAATGTAGCTACGAGAAACTGACGAACAAAGTAATCGTGTTCTTCACGTTAAAATAATTTAGTAGCAAAAAACATTGTCTCTTCGTGAAATGACTACTAAAATTACGTATATACAATTAACGTGTCCCATTTTATGTTGTGATGATGATAATTTACTATTTACATTTTTTGTTTTAACTTAATTAATCCCGTTTTTTGATTTTTTCTAAATATTTCGTTAGGTATAGTAAACAATCTAATATCTTTATTACGCTTGTTTATGGTCTTTTATGGTGCAATAATTTCAAAATATTATCATTTTTTTCGGATCTAATTTTTGTTTTGTCTTTTTTTAGTTATGCAGTGAATAATTTATTCATTAGAATTTATCTTAACTAGACATTTATATTCGTTTCGTCTAGTTTCAATAGTCAATAATATGGTAGTTTTGCATTTTTTGCTCTTGTTTTAACATGTGAAATGGTCGCTTTCAAAAGAACAGAGTTTGCGTTTCAATAAGTAGGAGTTGAATTTAATTACGCAAATCAATAAGAAATTAAAATCGATAATCTTAGGTGACATTTCAACTTTTTATTGAGCAAATATTTATTTAAAAATTGTTGGTAAAAGATGGAAGTGGAAAAAATGTTTTTTTTTTTTCATTCGTCCGAATCCATTTATGAATAAGTGAATCATTCAAACGATGTCAACGATGATTAAATAAATTAGTAGAAAAAAAGGAACATAAATGATACAATCAATTTTTTTTTTGAATATGTATATATAGTATTGATTTTTGTTCAATGCATTTGTTTTGCGTTCAGTTACGGACCATTTCGAAAATAAAGTTTGTTAATTCAGAAAAATTGGCAAAAAACAGGAAAAATTTAAGTTGATTATAATCTAGCTAACGAAACTAAATTTAACGAAAGTTGAGCAAATATATCAGAAGAAAAGTGTCAATTTCTAATGAGACAATCCAAATCTAATTTATCCATGATTTAAAACCTAAATCTAATCGTTTTAAAATTTAAATCACATTTTCACTTTATTATTTATCATATAATATGTTACGTTAATTAGCTTCATTTCACTTAATAAGATGATGTTCTAAATGTGTTTTGAAATTTTATTTCGAAATCATTTAAAATATTGGTAAAATGACTAAAATCCGATACAAAAAAAAAAAAAAAAACAATGCCGCATAATTCGGCGATCAATATATTTTTTTTGCTTGTGTTTGCTTTCAAAGTATTTTCAATTTGATTTGCTTTTCAAAGTATATCAAGGTAATAGGTAAAGGTTGGTAAAGGTAGTATGTATATCAAATAAAAGACCTAAAAATTGTTTAAATGACTATTCTGATTCATAAACACTCACACAATTACATAATACACACGGTGAGCTGCGCTCGGTGGCTCGTTTCCAAAGCGAAAAATTTCATCCGAGAAGAATTCACGCGATTCAGTGATAAAGTCTAGACGGATAATGATTTCCGTTATTTTGGTCAATGGAATGTTGATCGTCATTCGTGTTATGAATCGATTGCTTTTTATTTGAAATGATGAAATTGTTGTTAATTTGATTCAGATGATGTTGCTTGCGGTTCGTGGGATGCGAACGGTGATTGGAATGCATTGTCATCGCTTCAGTTTTGATATTGGTGGCCGTAACATTCGTTCTATTGTTTCGCAACGAATGCAATGCAATTTCATCGGATTGATTGTGCCAACGGTAACGATTCGTCGATGAAATATTTGTCGAACTATTATTATTTATGTTGCGATGTAAATGTCCAGTAGTTTTTCTTTCGTTCATTGTTGAATAGTAAACATTATTGCGTTTATTATGTGTATAGTCAATTTCATCGTCGTTGCTATCATTGCTATCTTGATGTTGTTCCGTATTCATGATGTCCTTCTCCCTAGCACCGTTGCTGTGATTGTTCTTTTTAACACGTGTTCGCGGCATTGATGATTGCAACGATGCCGAAATACTTAATGGAATATCATCACTCTTATATAATTTTGTGTTTGGGGTTGCATTTGAAACGTTCGGAGATAGTGGCGATGTATTATAGTTTTTCGTCATGATCATATTATTTTGTATTAAATGATTTTGATTCAATTGAATGAATACGGCTGATCGACTCGAACACATATCAACATCTTTGAAATCGTGATTATACGATATTCCACCTCTCTCTAGTTCCCTGCAGAGAGGTGGAGAAGCGTCTAGCTAGAGTTCCGTAACTGGTATTGGACGTATACCAGATGGTTGATGGTATTGTTGTGAGAATTTTGGTTGATGCAAACTCAATGTGCACGGTGCATGTGCATGTGATAGATGACGTGTAGTATGCGTATAATCTTCATCCGAAAATGTTTTTTGATATTCACGTTCTTTGGTGCCGATTGTTGAATCGCTCCATCGACCTTTGAACAATTCACGCAAACGACGTCGACATCGAAATAAAAGCAACAAAAGAATAATAATTATTGCCACTGATGTAACCATCAAAATGCCTAGCATTGCTTGTTTTTTTGTGTCATCATTACTGCAACCGATGACGCTTGGCGACAATGTCCGTAACTGTTGATCGCGTACATTCTCTGGTGCACTGCACAATACATTATCGATCGATATTTGACTAGAATTTTGTGCATTTAGAATTTGTTGCATCCATAAAATATTGCAATCGCACAATATTGGATTTTCCGAAATATCAAATGAATTTAGCTCATCCCATTTCAGTAAATTCTCTGGTATAACGGTGAGCGCATTATCATGTAGTTTTATTGTTTTCAAATGTAAAAGACCACTAAACGCACCCGCTTCAATATCGGTTAATGCTTTATTCGATGCAATCGATAATGTTTCCAAGTTTGTTGTTTCAGCGAATGCATTGTTTTCGATTTTTTGCAATTTAAGTGAACCACTTATGTCTAAATGCCGTAGATTTGTGAAGCCAGCAAAGGCTCGTGACGGTATGGTTTCAAAATTATTCTGTCCAAGCATCAATTCTTCGAGACGATTCAAATGACTCAATGCCGTGGTTGGTACTTCAGTTAACCGGTTATCGGATATGTCCAATTTACGAAGATTAAATTCGAGACCACGGAATGTATTGATCGATATGTTTGTCAAACCAGCACCTTTCAAATCAAGTGAGGTGAGCCCATTTAACCGTTCAAATGCACCATTTTCAATTGTTGTGAATACATTTATGCCCAAATACAATTCAGCAAGGCTAACAAGCGGTACAAATGATTCACTTGGTACAATTGATAACGAATTGTCATTCAAATATAATGTTCGTAAGCTTAATAAGCCATTGAATGTTGTTGCATCCACACGGTTTATGCGATTTTTACTAAGATTCAACTCCTGAAGTTTTGGCAATGTTGAAAACACATTTGCACCTAATTCATCCAAAAAATTATCGCCCAAATTCAATAATACTAATGACGTCAAACCGATAAATGTTTCATTGGTTATCGAACCAATTTTATTATGATTCAAATGAAGATCGTTCAATTTTTTCTGATACTGGAATGTTCGGGCCGGAATATTGTATAAATGATTATAGCTCAAGTCTAAATATACCAATTCCGAGTAAAATTGCACCGATGAGTCAATTGTTTTGATTTTATTCCGTTGGATAATTAATCGTTTTATCGATGGATTTAATGCAATCGGAAGAACGTCCAGTTGACCTTCGCCGCAATTCACTTCCAAATTTTGCTCATCACATTTACAACTGGCCGGACAATTGGCCAGTGCATTCAAACCAACGGCGTGTATGGCAGTGAACAGGAAAACAAACTGAACCAAATTCATCATGTTCATTGTAATATAATTGTAATTTAAATGTTGAATCTGCAAATAAATTTAATAAAACGTTTAAAATTAATAAAATATCAAAAACCAAAAATTAAAAAAAAAATCACAAAAATTGCTGGATATATAAATTATACAGCTATATGTATTGGCTATTGAACAGTTGTTCACAATTGGTGCGTGTAAATTTTAGATGACAAAATGCATTTGAAAGAGATGACTTGGAATTCCGTTCATTCTTTGACGTGGCATCTGTTCACAGCGACCCATATTTTTATTTCTAGAGAGGTCGTAATGCATATTGAAATTGTTCTATAAGTAGATGAAAAAAGCTGAACTCGATTTTTGCTGCAAATAAAACAGCGAATAAGTCAAATAACAAGAAAAGATTGTTTTTGATATGAATATGATTACATTTTGTGACAAATTGCCCAATATATATATGTGTGTGTACTGTGTACCTTCGGCATACATTCATTTAATGGAGAAAATGTCTTCGTAATTCAACGAAACTTTCACGAATATGAAAAATTATACCTAATTAAAACTATTAATTATTAGTTGTATGAAAATATTGTTTCATTTTACAGGAAAATTTTCTATTTTTCTGTTGTTAGCGAATCGACATTAGAATTGCATGGGATATATCTAGGGGTTAGACGTGCATAATGCCTATTATGTGTGTGTATCTGTGTATTCAAAAGTGTAAATAAATAAAAGAAAGCTGGAGCTGATTTAAAAGTATGTCAAACCCCTGAACGAATATGCAATCATGTTGTGTACATCGTTTGTGGATTAGCATTTTTGTAACGTGAAACATTGTACAATCGTCAAAGCGAATTTTCAACTGGATGAAAGAGAGTAACAAACAATCTGCATGTGACTAGGACTATATGTGCTTCAATGCTGAATTTTGCATATAAACAGAGTTTGAGTTGAACCATTGAACATTTGCGCTGGTGCTGCTGATCCAATGTAAACGTGTACAACCCATCCCGTTTCGAATCTCACTGGTTGAGCTCTAAATGAAATAAATTGCAAATGCAAATTGTAGCAAAACAATGTTTGCCGAAATCAGCTTTTCGCCATTGTCATCTACAACAAGCATCGCTTCTTGTGAGCTCTAACACAAATGCATTAGCGCTCTCTCTCTCGCTCTCTCTCTATCCATCTTGTTGCCTATGTCTATTGTGCTCGTTTTTCCTAATCCACATAACTTTCTGTAATTAAATTCCGAAATGCTAACTCATACACTATGCAGCGAAATAATCGCATGTGACTAGGAGGCCAGGCTTCTAGCCATATAAAACATACAGCAACTGAAACATGTGTGTTGCTTTGTCATTGCACCATTTCTGACTAAAATATGTTTTTAAATTCACAAAGACCAAAAATAGTTTGCTTGTTTAGATGGAATAACACAGCACAAAGCTCGGAATATGTCTAAATGTATTGTAGGTATAGGGATACGGATGCAAGTTTCCTTCTGAAAATCATTCAGGAAAATTCATCGACTTTTGCAATTTATGAGCGTGATGAATGATTGAATTGAGGCTGCCGAAGAAAATAAAAAAAAACACACACACACACATAATCAATTAAGCTAAGTTATATGCAGCTTCATGATGAACATCAATATTACATCTTTCAGATTATGTTTACAAAACATCTTCTTGCAAACCCACATGCACCCATAAACTTCGATTCTGCAAAAATCATTTTGTCCATCACACATAAATCAGTTTGGTTCATTTTACCAAATTGCCTAATTGGGAAAATCTAATTTGATTAAAACAACGGGCATGGTTTCTATTTTCGGGCACCATCAAAACGTTTTATGAAACTTCATTTGTCATTGGGTTTATAATTTTTGCGCTTTAAGTCAGTCCGCTGGCTTGAATTTTCTCGACCACCAGCAATTCAATTCCAAAGAATCCCGATTCATCCACCATATAGCCACCAACATGTGTACAATTTGAAATTTGCCAAAGTATGCAATTTAAATATTGTTTTTGTTTGCGATTCAGTTGATTGTTGTGTTTGTTTCAAATGTATTTGATTTTCAATGAATATAGAAAACAGTGAGATGTGGGCGATAAAAACAAAATCGATTCAGCAACAACGGTTGTCGTTGAAATAAAATGAAAATCCAAAGAAGAAACGTGAACAACGGCATTCAATAATTTAGATTAGAATACTGATTTCAGTATTTGCCAGATATCTGGTCATGACTTTTAAATTCAAAAAAATAATCATTGTTATTAAAAATCATCTAAATCAATTGAAGTTTTGTTTATTTTTCATTTCATCCTGCATATCTTGTATTCCATTTCTGAACCTGTTTCGAAATTTATCGGAGCGCGTCAGTTTCAGCCGGTCTCACATATATCCTTGCAATTCAATTCATACTTGAATTCGAATTTCATGCAGAGCGATATTCTTTTTCCAGCCGATCGTCACACTTTTTTCCCCTGCACTGCATACTAAGCAAATAATTCAGAATGTTCAAGCATACACACTATTCGTCGTATTCATGTTGAGTTCACATTATGCATAGTGAAAAGGACTAATGAAGCATTTCAAAGGCAAATCGTATACCAAACACTCATGCCGTAATGGCCAAATTGTTTTCCAAACAAAATGGAACAAACAAAAGTTATGGTAATAACATTAAAACCAAAAAAAAGATTTCGATTTTTTTATTCTCTCTCTCTCTCTCTGCCATCTCTGCCACCCCTCCCCGCTCTTTATCGCTCGAAAAAGTTTTCTTGATATGCAGAATGGGAATACGATAAATTCTCGCATTTTGATTCGAATCTTTTCAATAACCCTGCATATATGCTGCTTGGCATGAACTTTTGGCTTGAGATATGTTAATGGATAATTTAATTTTCGCGCAAAAACGTAGTTTTCGAGTTTGGGGAAAATCAAAAAGACATTCGATATGAACTTAGGCATCAGCATTCGAATTGAAAAGGTTCGAAAAGGTTCATTTCCATTGAATTTGTTTTAAGCGCCCCTTACTTTTGTTTGGATGCTGTATGTTTCTCTGCATAATAAGAAATCAATATTGAATTTTGAGAAAGCGAAGAAGAAGAAGCAGAAAAAATCATTCAATTTGTATTTGAAGATTGGAGCTTGCACACTCGAATGTACGTATATTTTTTATGCATGTGCCATAAGTACATTTTCCATTATTTGCAGCAACGAATTGATTTAGCAGTAATGGACATACATTAGTGCCTTGCGAATTAGTACACAAAGATGAACAATTAAGCAAGTGGAAACAATTCCACATTCCCTCTTTTTTGGTATGCACGAACATTGCTTTTTTCGGAAAATTGTATCTATGAGGCTAATCTATATAGAACTGTATATTGTCTATCTTAAAAGGCTCATACAAAATGGTAGATATAACAAAACATAAACAGAACAATGGACGTCCCACCTATATACATGAATCAGTTTATATTGAACAAATTTGTTCTTTTTTTTCGGCCATCAAATCGACAAATACTGATTACCACATAACAATTTATCGCGTCGCTCTCAAAGTCGTAATCAAAACCAAAAAAAAAGAACCAAATAGAGGTCCATCGATTTGAATGCTCTTTCTGTTATGCGATAGTAATAAGTGTTGATCAAAAATTAGTGTGGTATAGTTTGCCAAAAAGAGTGATTTTTGTATATTTGTGGATACGCTATAACAACAATGCTTCGGGACAGAAATTCAATTTACTCTCTATGTGTATTTGTCGAAATGGTCGATTTTTGTGCAGAAAAATTTGATTTGAAAAAGTGAACGCCGAAAATAACTTGTTTTCTGGCCAAACAAACATTAAATGGTTGAATCGATATGAGCAACGATAATAACGGCGCATAAACGATTGTATGCCAAATCGCCTAGGAGTTTGTTTTTTTTTTTGTTGGGAGGACGACGCATCAATTGCGACGTCAACTACGACGACGACAATGAAGACTATGATGTTGATGATGATGGTGAGATTTCGAAATTTATTTTTGCTATGCAGCAGCTATCCTTCACACAGATTATTCTATTGCAGGGGAACGATATATTTTCGGTTGCCACATTGAAATATCATTAAAAGTGGCTGAGAGTCATTTTTCTGATAAGGCGGATGTTCTTCGACCTCGGAATCGTCAAACAGCGGGTACGACACACAATTCACACACAAGAAGCTTCAAAAGTACATACACACAGTAACCACAACCACACAACCACACACCCCCACGGTGAATAGAAGAAGAAGTTAAATAAAACCAGGGCAAAAACCTATTTATTCTTAGAATTTTTATTCCTTTCAATACCATAAGTATGCTATTATTCAGATTGCTTTCGCCCAATATCGATGGCTACGTTGTACATACACAAAAGTGACTTTATTTAACGGCACTTCATTCCATTTATACAAAGTTCTCACACCAAATGCTAAAGGATATATTGTGTCAATGGAAGAAACCAAACTGACAAACAAATGTAAATGGAAAGAGGATGCGACGAAGCAATACCAATGGATAATATGGTTCATATCGGTTTGTATACTTTGCGATAAGCTAATGTTTAAGTCTATTAAATTGTGATTTTGCACTTTAAAAACGTAATAGTATGTTTATATATTGACTTTAACGTACAGATAAAGAACTGCTTTTATCATTGGCATTTCGGATTGGCCCTATTGTGATCGCTTTTCTTGCTCTTCACTTTCTGCAATGTGATTTTAAGCTTAATGTAATTCAAGTAATTTTTCTTGTTATTTGTGAGAGGTTCTTCTTTTTTTTCATCAGGGGGTTTGTTGGATTTGATTGTTTGAACCAAACGACATTTATTTCGATGCAAGAAAATAGAAAGGATACCAATTGCAATTGTGTGCCATCACCGCACAAACTCATTATTTTCGATTATTTGGTTTGTATTTTATTGTCTTGTGGTTTTTTTCTCTCACTCTCTCTCTCTCCTTTGCTTTTTATTTGGCGGCGTTTCCGTCTGATTCTTTTTTTTATTATTACATTCATGTCGT